GAGTACACAGAGTATTGCATCACTACTGCATCATTACTGCATCAGTACTACATCACTACTGCATCATTACTGCATCAGTACTACCAGTACTACATCTATAAGTCCACACAAGTTCAGAGAGAAAAACGAGTCTGATGCAGGTTTAACTAAAAACACAAGAAAATATTAAACATGTTTAAACCAGGACTAAACCAAGGACTAAACCAAGACTAAACCAGGACTAAACCAGGACTAAACCAGGTCTAAACCAGGACTAAACCAGGACTGAACCAGAACTAAACCAGGTCTAAACCAGAACTAAACTAAGACTAAACCAGGACTAAACCAGGTCTAAACCAGGACTAAACCAGGACTAAACCAGGACTAAACCAGGTCTAAACCAGAACTAAACCAGGACTAAACCAGGTCTAAACTAAGACTAAACCAGGACTAAACCAGGTCTAAACCAGGTCTAAACCAGGACTAAACCAGGTCTAAACCAGGACTAAACTAAGACTAAACCAGGACTAAACCAGGTCTAAACCAGGACTAAACCAGGACTGAACCAGAACTAAACCAGGTCTAAACCAGAACTAAACTAAGACTAAACCAGGTCTAAACTAAGACTAAACCAGGACTAAACCAGGTCTAAACCAGGTCTAAACCAGGACTAAACCAGGTCTAAACCAGGTCTAAACCAGGTCTTTCTTTTTCAGTCTGTTTGTGTAGATTCTGAGTTGAGGACAGGTGTACCTAATAAAGTGTCTGGTCTGTGATGTGGTAAAGGTGCAGTGACAGGTGTAGTGACAGGTGTAGTGACAGGTGTGGCGGCAGGTGCAGTGACAGGTGTAGTGACAGGTGTGGCGACAGGTGCAGTGACAGGTGTAGTGACAGGTGTGGCGACAGGTGCAGTGACAGGTGTAGTGACAGGTGTGGCGGCAGGTGCAGTGACAGGTGTAGTGACAGGTGTGACAGTGAGTGACAGGTGCAGTGACAGTGTGTAGTGACAGGTGTGGCGGCAGGTGCAGTGACAGGTGCGGCGGCAGGTGCGTGTTTACCTGGAAGGCGTGCGAGGCGAAGCCCAGGCCGAGCTGCCTGCAGACGACCACGGCCTCCAGAGTCCCCCAGCCCTCGGAACACACGGAACCCCAGACCAGAGAACCGTTCCTCTGAGCCAGAACCTCCACCCGCCCCTCCAGAGGGTTACGCCCCCCCGACAGGCGCAGCTGAAACACACACACACACACACTGTTACTCCACCCGCAGAACCTCCACCCGCAGAACCTCCACCTGCAGGACCTCCACCCGCAGAACCCACAGAACCTCCACCTGCAGAACCTCCACCCACAGAACCTCCACCCGCAGAACCTCCACCCGCAGAACCCGCAGAACCTCCACCCGCAGAACCTCCACCCGCAGAACCCGCAGAACCTCCACACCTCGCAGAACCCGCAGAACCCACAGAACCTCCACCCGCAGAACCCGCAGAACCCCACCCGCAGAACTCCACCCGCAGAACCCAGAACCTCCAGAACCCGCAGAACCCGCAGAACCTCCACCCGCAGAACCTCCACCCGCAGAACCCGCAGAACCTCCACCCGCAGAACCTCCACCTGCAGAACCTCCGCCCGCAGAACCTCCACCCACAGAACCTCCACCTGCAGAACCTCTGCCCCTCCAGAGGGTTACGCCCCCCCGACAGTACACACAAACACAACACACACACACAGACGCACACAAACACATACACTGTTACTACTACTACAAGTCCCCCTGTGTGTTTGTGTGTGTGTGTGTGTGTGTGTATAGTGTGTGTGTATATGTGTGTGTGTACAGTGTGTGTGTGTGTATAGTGTGTGTGTGTATAGTGTGTGTGTACAGTGTGTGTATAGTGTGTGTGTATAGTGTGTGTGTATGTGTGTGTATATGTGTGTATAGTGTGTGTATGTGTGTGTGTATAGTGTGTGTACAGTGTGTGTATAGTGTGTGTATAGTGTGTGTGTGTATAGTGTGTGTGTATGTGTGTATAGTGTGTGTATAGTGTGTGTGTGTATAGTGTGTGTATATGTGTGTATAGTGTGTGTATAGTGTGTGTGTATGTGTGTGTATATGTGTGTGTGTATAGTGTGTGTATTTGTGTGTATAGTGTGTGTGTATAGTGTGTGTATATGTGTGTATAGTGTGTGTATAGTGTGTGTGTATGTGTGTGTATAGTGTGTGTATGTGTGTATTTGTGTGTGTATTTGTGTGTATATAGTGTGTGTATAGTGTGTGTATGTGTGTATAGTGTGTGTATATGTGTGTATAGTGTGTGTGTATAGTGTGTGTGTATAGTGTGTGTATGTGTGTGTATAGTGTGTGTATGTGTGTATAGTGTGTGTGTGTATAGTGTGTGTGTATGTGTGTGTATATGTGTGTATAGTGTGTGTATGTGTGTGTGTATAGTGTGTGTACAGTGTGTGTATAGTGTGTGTATAGTGTGTGTGTGTATAGTGTGTGTGTATGTGTGTATAGTGTGTGTATAGTGTGTGTGTGTATATGTGTGTATAGTGTGTGTATAGTGTGTGTGTATGTGTGTGTGTATATGTGTGTGTGTATAGTGTGTGTATTTGTGTGTATAGTGTGTGTGTATAGTGTGTGTATATGTGTGTGTATAGTGTGTGTATATGTGTGTATAGTGTGTGTGTATAGTGTGTGTATGTGTGTGTGTATATGTGTGTGTGTATAGTGTGTGTGTATGTGTGTATAGTGTGTGTATATGTGTGTATAGTGTGTGTGTGTGTGTGTGTATAGTGTGTGTGTATAGTGTGTGTATAGTGTGTGTATAGTGTGTGTATAGTGTGTGTATAGTGTGTGTGTATGTGTGTGTGTGTGTGTGTGTGTGTGTGTGTATAGTGTGTGTATGTGTGTGTATATGTGTGTATAGTGTGTGTATGTGTGTGTATATGTGTGTATAGTGTGTGTATAGTGTGTGTATAGTGTGTGTGTGTGTAGTGTGTGTGTGTATAGTGTGTGTGTGTATAGTGTGTGTGGTATAGTGTGTGTGTATAGTGTGTGTATAGTGTGTGTATAGTGTGTGTGTATAGTGTGTGTGTGTGTATAGTGTGTGTATGTGTGTGTATAGTGTGTGTATATGTGTGTGTGTATAGTGTGTGTATGTGTGTGTATAGTGTGTATATGTGTGTATAGTGTGTGTATGTGTGTGTATAGTGTGTATATGTGTGTATAGTGTGTGTATGTGTGTGTATAGTGTGTATATGTGTGTATAGTGTGTGTATGTGTGTGTATATGTGTGTATATGTGTGTATATGTGTGTGTATAGTGTGTGTATAGTGTGTGTATGTGTGTATAGTGTGTGTATATGTGTGTGTATAGTGTGTATATGTGGTGTATAGTGTGTGTATGTGTGTGTATAGTGTGTATATGTGTGTATAGTGTGTGTGTGTGTGTATGTGTGTATATGTGTGTATAGTGTGTATAGTGTGTTGTATAGTGTGTATGTGTGTGTAATAGTGTGTGTGTGTATAGTGTGTGTATAGTGTGTGTATAGTGTGTATAGTGTGTATAGTGTGTGTGTGTGTATAGTGTGTGTATAGTGTGTGTGTATGTGTGTATAGTGTGTATATGTGTGTATATGTGTGTGTGTATAGTGTGTATAGTGTGTGTATAGTGTGTGTATAGTGTGTGTATAGTGTGTGTATAGTGTGTGTGTATAGTATAGTGTGTGTATAGTGTGTGTATAGTGTGTGTATAGTGTGTGTATAGTGTGTGTATAGTGTGTGTATAGTGTGTGTGTATAGTGTGTATAGTGTGTGTATAGTGTGTGTATAGTGTGTGTATGTATGTGTGTGTATAGTGTGTATAGTGTGTGTATAGTGTGTGTGTATAGTGTGTGTATAGTGTGTGTGTGTGTATGTGTGTGTATAGTGTGTATATGTGTGTATAGTGTGTATATGTGTGTATAGTGTGTATATGTGTGTATGTGTGTGTGTAGTGTGTATATGTGTGTATAGTGTGTGTATAGTGTGTGTATAGTGTGTATAGTGTGTGTATGTGTGTGTATAGTGTGTATATGTGTGTATAGTGTGTGTATGTGTGTGTATAGTGTGTATATGTGTGTATAGTGTGTGTATGTGTGTGTATAGTGTGTATATGTGTGTATAGTGTGTGTAATGTGTGTGTATGTGTGTGTATAGTGTGTGTATAGTGTGTGTGTATAGTGTGTGTATAGTGTGTGTATGTGTGTATAGTGTGTGTGTGTGTATAGTGTGTGTATAGTGTGTGTATAGTGTGTATATGTGTGTATAGTGTGTGTATAGTGTGTGTATAGTGTGTGTGTGTGTGTATAGTGTGTATATGTGTGTATAGTGTGTGTGTATAGTGTGTGTATAGTGTATGTGTATAGTGTGTGTATAGTGTGTGTGTATAGTGTGTGTATAGTGTGTGTATGTGTGTGTGTGTATAGTGTGTGTATAGTGTGTGTATAGTGTGTGTGTATAGTGTGTGTATGTGTGTGTATAGTGTGTGTATAGTGTGTGTATAGTGTGTGTATAGTGTGTGTATAGTGTGTGTGTATAGTGTGTATAGTGTGTGTATAGTGTGTGTATAGTGTGTGTGTATAGTGTGTGTATAGTGTGTGTGTGTGTGTGTGTGTGTATAGTGTGTATAGTGTGTGTATAGTGTGTGTATAGTGTGTGTATAGTGTGTGTGTATGTGTGTATAGTGTGTATATGTGTGTATATGTGTGTATATGTGTGTATAGTGTGTGTATATGTGTGTGTATAGTGTGTGTGTGTATAGTGTGTATAGTGTGTATAGTGTGTATAGTGTGTGTGTGTAGTGTGTATAGTGTGTATATGTGTGTATAGTGTGTATATGTGTGTATAGTGTGTGTATAGTGTGTGTATAGTGTGTGTATAGTGTGTGTATAGTGTGTATAGTGTGTGTATAGTGTGTGTATAGTGTGTGTGTGTATAGTGTGTGTATAGTGTGTGTATAGTGTGTATAGTGTGTGTATGTGTGTGTATAGTGTGTGTATATGTGTGTGTGTATAGTGTGTATAGTGTGTGTATATGTGTGTATAGTGTGTATATGTGTGTATAGTGTGTGTATGTGTGTGTGACTGACCCGTGTGTGAAAGTTCATCTGTGGGACATTACACCTGGCGGCGGCGTCGTCTTCGTGGCTGCAGCCTCCAGACTCTCGATTGAAGCGACATTCAGTCAGAGACTTTTCAAAACCCGAACACTGGACCTCGCTCATGTGGACCGGACCCATCCCTGCCACAAACCACACCGGGTCACACCGAGTCACACCGGGTCACACCGGGTCACACCGGGTCACAACGAGTCACACCGGGTCACACCGAGTCACACCGAGTCACACCGGGTCACACCGGGTCACAACGAGTCCACCGGGTCATACCGGGTAAGAACCAGGTCTAAACCAGGTCTAAACCAGGTCTAAACCAGGACTAAACCAGGACTAAACCAGGTAAACCAGGACTAAACCAGGTCTAAACAGGACTAACCAGGACTAAACCAGGTCTAAACCAGGACTAAACCAGGACTAAACCAGGTCTAAACCAGGACTAAACCAGGACTAAAACCAGGTCTAAACCAGGACTAAACCAGGACTAAACCAGGTCTAAACCAGGACTAAACCAGGACTAAACCAGGTCTAAACCAGGACTAAACCAGGACTAAACCAGGTCTAAACCAGGACTAAACCAGGACTAAACCAGGACTAAACCAGGTCTAAACCAGGACTAAACCAGGACTAAACCAGGACTAAACCAGGTCTAAACCAGGACTAAACCAGGACTAAACCAGGTCTAAACCAGGACTAAACCAGGACTAAACCAGGACTAAACCAGGACTAAACCAGGACTAAACCAGGTCTAAACCAGGACTAAACCAGGTCCATTTGTTTTACACTAAAAGTTTGTTTTCTCTGATTTGTTGTTTTGGAAAACGTGACTTTTCTTCGTTCTTTTTTTTTTTATGTGAGAAAAAGTCGTAAAAACTGTGAATCTCAGAGGGACTTTAAAAACCTGGTCTGGTCCAAAGTCTGGTCCAAAGGTCTGGTCCAAGGTCTGGAGCCACAACAATGAGGGAAAAAAACAGAGTGAAGCAGAACTGAACCAGGTCCAGACGGGACGACGGGTCTGTGGTGCTGGACTCTTGGACCGGGGACAGTCCTGACTCTTGGACCGGGGACAGTCCGGACTCTTGGACCGGGGACAGTCCGGACTCTTGGACCGGGGACAGTCCGGACTCTTGGACCGGGGACAGTCCGGACTCTTGGACCGGGGATAGTCTGGACTCTGGTCCAGATCTGAATTCCTCTGGACCCACAAAAACATTTCACACTCGTCTGAGACCGAGACCCGACACGACCAAGGACTACTGCTCCTGTCAGACCTGCTCCTGTCAGACCTGCTCCTGTCAGACCTGCTCCTGTCAGACCTGCTCCTGTCTGGACCCGGTTTAGACCTGCTCCTGGTTTAGACCTGGTTCAGTCCTGGTTTAGTTCTGGTTTAGTCCTGGTTTAGTTCTGGTTTAGTCCTGGTTTAGACCTGGTTTAGTCCTGGTTTAGTTCTGGTTTAGTCCTGGTTTAGTTCTGGTTTAGTCCTGGTTTAGACCTGGTTTAGTCCTGGTTTAGTTCTGGTTTAGTCCTGGTCTGTGTGACTTTGATCAAATTTAAGAGTTTTAAATTTCACAGAATCAGAAACATAAATCCTCCTCAGACTGAGTCTGGACCAGGACCAGGTCTGGACCAGGACCAGGTCTGGACCAGGTTCGGGTCTGGACCAGGTTCGGGTCTGAGGTCAGATCAGGTGAGGAGGACGAGGAGTCTGATGTTTGTTTTTGTTTCAAATCTAAAACGTTTTAAAACAGAATCTGAACATTTAAAATGAGGAAACGTTCTGATCCACCTGGTGATGTCATCATGTGGTGATACAGTGTGTGTGTGTGTGTGTGTGGCAGGTGCTCTTACCCTGTCCCAGGCGCGCTCCTGTCAGGGCCTCCTTGGCGCTGCCGAAGCCGAGTTCTCGACAGACGACGGTGGCGGCGTTCAGGTCCCAACCGTCGTCACACACGGTTCCCCAGACTCCGCCCTTCAACACCTCCACCCGCCCCTCGCCCACTCTGGCCCCGCCCCTCAGACGCACCAGCGGCTGCTGCAGGGACAGAGACAAGACCGGGTCAGGACCGGGACCAAACCGGGTCAGAACCGGGTCAGGACCAGGACCAAACCGGGTCAGGACCGGGACCAAACCGGGTCAGAACCGGGTCAGGACCAGGACCAAACCGGGTCAGAACCGGGTCAGGACCGGGACCAAACCGGGTCAGGACCAGGACTGGACCGGGACAGGACCGGGACTGGACCGGGACTGAACCGGGTCAGGACTGGGATTAAAGCGGGACAGGACCGGGTCAGATTTGATCCAATTTCATCAACAAAATCAAAATCAACAAAGGTCAAGAAAAAGGGTCTAAACCAGGTCTAAACCAGGTC